AGTACAGCCTCCTCACCTGTGAGAAAATATATTTCTGTTTGTTAAAGTCACCCACTTGTGGCATTTTTTATATATCAGCACTAGGCAACTGAGACTGATAACCATTACAATTTTATACTGCAATGGAATACATTTCACAGTTAGCTTTGTTACTGAGAATATTTCAAAATATACTCTTAAACTTTAGTATAAGTGGCACTCCACTGAAAAATTTCTCAATATAAATGAAGCTGAGTGTAAGGTTCATGTTTTAAAAAAAAAACATTGAGTCATGAAAATGGTTTGAATAAATTCATTTTAATTTGAACTTCATCAAAATGCAATTGATTTATAAATTCAAGTCTCTACAAAATAAATTACTGTAGAAAACTTGTAAATTAAACATTATCTTTTTACTGTATTTCAGTTATCCTTTGCTAACAATGTATTCTTATTATTATGAAATTATACTTGTTGTTGTTGGCAAACAACAAAAGAAAGTAATGTTTTAGGTGAAACACTGCATTCAGTTGAAGCTAAAATTTAAAGTGAAAGTATTGAAACTGTTTTCAAGTATTTATGCCTACAATGTTTCCTGTTATGTCCCTTAATTGTACCTACCTACCTGAGGAATACTGATAGTGTAGTAGTTATGCACTATTAACCCCAAAGTTAACAGTTCAAAACCATCAGCCACTCCACTAGAGAATGATGAGACTTTCTACTCCCATAATGATTTACAGTCTTGGTAACGCAGAGGGGAAGTTCTACCCTCCTCTGAAGGGTGACTCGACTCAATGGCAGTGAGTTTTAGCCCTACCTACATGGATATAACAAAAACAAATAAACTCAATGCCATCGTTCACCAGGTTAGTTTCTATCACCAAGGCCATATTTTCTAACTACTGTTACTTCCTTTGTTTCCAGCTTTCATAATCTAATCACCAGTAATGAGTCCATCTTGATTGAATATTTGATCATATTTGATCAATTTCAGAGTGAAGAAGTTGGTAGAATTCTTCAAGGCCATCATTTACTTTAGTGGTTGGTGCACAAATCTGAATAGTTGCAATGATTGTATTTCCTTGTATGAGGATAGATTATATTATCACAGACAGCATCGCACTTCAAGAGAGATCTTGACATATCTTTTTGACAATGAATGCTATGCATTCCTCTTGAATCTGTCCTTCCTGGTTAGACTGGGTTGAGTAGAGAAACAAATCCAGAGACACTCATGTATGTATAAGAAAGAGCTTTATATCAAAAAGTAATTTCAAATTAAGAAAACAACCTAGTCCAATCCAGATCAAGTCCATAAGTCCAATAAATCCTTCTTCAGGAGTCTGAAGTTGACATGAAATTATGTAACTACCATACCTGGCATAGTAAACCATTTGATTGTGTAATTAAAAATGCCCACAACCTGTTCATTTCAGCTCACTAATACCTAGGATATCAATCTTTATGCATTCCATTTCATTTGAAGAACTTCCAGATTCATTCTTTGTAGATTCTATATTCCAATTATGAATGGATGGTTGAAGCTGTTTGCTCTCATTTGAGTCATGCCTTGTAGCAGTAACATGATTTCATGTCAATTTCATAAATAAGTCTAGAGGTGGAGTCTAGACTGTCAATCAGAGCCTGATGATGCCTACTTGTGGGCATGACCTTCTCATGAGGATTCTGTTCCTCTCTTTTGATTCTGCCATCAGAAGAGGTAGGCCTCTCTTTCTGTTTTCATTCTCCTGCTGACAAGCCATGTGGTAGAGGCCTGCGGAAACATCCCTGCACACATCCCTGTGATGCTTCCACTGCCATTGGACCCACAAGACTCTTCACCTGCCAGCCTGTGATCTTCCTGGATTCGGCATCATTGTGAGTGGCAACATGAGTCTGAAGAGGAATTTATGGACTAATAATGGACATATGGGCTAATATTGGACTTAGGGACTTGATCTGGACTCGGCTGGGATGTTTTCTCAATATACAATTTCTCTTTGATATAAAGCTCTCTCTTAATACATATAGGAGTGTCTGGATTTGTTTCTCTCATCAACCCAGGCCAACACATGCCTCATCAACTGTCACTAAGGTCAACTGTACTTGGAGGAGGTAGCTCTTCTCCAGTCAGATGTTTAATGCTTTCCAACCTGAGGGGCGCATCATCAGAAAAGATCCACCTGCTTTGAAGAAGGTTTTCAATGGCACACTTTCAAGAGTGAACTTCTATCTTCCTAGTCTTTGTCTAGAAGCACCGAAAAAGACCTGTTCACCAGAGTTGACGCTGCTGGTTCTAGAAATTCTGGTGGTGCAGCTTCCAGCATCTCCGCAACATGCAGCCACCGTTAAAACAAAACAAAACAAACATGCAGCCACCACAGTACAACAAACTGATGGATGAGGGGGAAGCTCAACACAGAAACACTTTATAGAGAAAAATGTTTGACTAACAAAAGGCAAATTACATATTGCAATCGGGCATTCACTGGTAAAATAGTTTCAGTAAATCAAGAAACTAGGTTTTGTTGTTGTTGTTTTATGGATGCCTTGTTCAGGATTATGCTAGGTCCTAAAAAGGATACTTTAGTCTAGCGGAGGAGACATAAAATGTATAACACAACTAATGTACAACATTAACGAGTTAAAATGACCAGTTAAAAGTTATAAAGCATGGATGCTGTAGACATTCTTGAAATGAAGTGTTGTATTAGAGGACATCAAGATCACTGTTCATGCAGGAGCATTTTATAAAAGAGCTCGAAAGAGGGAAATTCAATAAAATTGACATTAAGAAGCCCGTAGAGATTTGCACTTGGCACACAGCAGCGCTTCAGAAAGCTTTGATTGGCGGCAGCATGCAGAGTGCCTCTGAGCAGAGAGCATGAGGAGCCATCACGAAGAGGAAGTGCATAACTGTTCTAGGAGAACACCAAACCAGACCAACCAAACTCACTGCCATGCAGTCAAATCCGATTCCTAGCCGCCTGGGGGACAGGGTAGAACTCCCCCGGTGAGCTTCCCATAACTCTTACGGGAGCAGAAAGCCCTATCTTTCTCCCATGGAACAGTTGGTGGTTTCAATCTGCTGACCTTGCGGTTAGCAGCCCAAATCATAACCATCACGGCATCAAAATGGATTATTGTAATGATGGTGAAAAACCTAGAAAACAAATGTTATAAGGATTAAAACCACTCTCTAATATTCTGCTCATTATATATAAAGGTACTGTGCTAGACACAAATAATACAAAAAGATACACAGCTATCAGTATGCTTCCCAATAATATGGAGATTCTAGTTCCAGCTTATTTAATTTATATTATTTCCAGAAGATGGATTTGATCTTGGTAGGAGAAAGATACTCTTCCCTGCATTTTGCTTCAGGTCATCCAACAATCGTTGCAGCCATATATCGACAGAGAGCTGCCAGAGGCTCAGGCTGGATTCAGAAGAGGATTTGAAACCAGGCCTATCATTGTTTGTGTCAGATGGATCTTGGCTCCAAGCAGAGAAGACCAGAAAGATGTTCACTCACGTTTCACTGACTATGCAAAGGCATTCGACTATGTGGACCCTCATAAACTGTGGATAACCTTGAGGAGAATGGGAATTCCAGAGCCCTTCATTGTGCTCATTTGGAACTTGTACATGGATCAAGAAGCAGTTGTGAAAATAGAATAAGCCAATACTGCATGGTTTAAATCAGGAAAGATCTGTGTCAGGATTGTATTCTCTCATCATACTTGTTAAATCTATATGCTGAGCAAATAACGAGAAGCTGGAGCATATGAAGAAGAATGACGTATCAGGATTGGTGGAAGGCTTATTAACACCTGCAATATCCAGGTGACACAACTTTGCTTGCTAAAAGTAAGGAGGAGTTGAAGCACTTGCTGATGAAGATCAAGAATTGTAACTTCCAGTATGGATTACAACTCAATGTATGGAAGACGAAATTCCTCACAACTGGACCTATTAGTAACATCATGATAAATGGAGAAAAGGTTGACGTTGTCAAGGATTTTGTCTTGCTTGGATCCACAATCAATGCTCATGGAAGCAGCAGTCAAGAGATCCAAAGATGTTGTGTTAGACATCTAGAGAGATAAAATCTCTAGATGAGATAAAATCTCTAGAGAGATAAAATCAAATTGCTGATAATTTAATATATTTATTTATAAAGATAATTAGGTATATAACAAGAAATGAACTGTTAAATCACATACAGATAAATATATAATACAAGAAATGAACAGTTAAATTATAAAGCACTACAAATGGCTCAGTGCAACTCATTCCCGTGAGAGAGAGTTGTGAGAGACTAGCAGTCCTTCAAGTCTAGTCTGCTGCCATATCTTCCTCTATTTATAGAGAGAGCTAGGTTATGTTAGCACAGCAGCCAATTACAAGGCAGGTCACCAACTGTCAGCTAGGTCACCAACCGCCAGTCCCCAGCTCCAGAGATGTCTTAAAGGGACCTCAATTTACAGTGACACAGTCCACAGGCTAGGCGTCCCACAGGTAGTGTAGCCTGTAAATTGAGGCACAGAACAAGCAAGGCAGCCGCACACTGGTCCGATGATCAAAGAGCGAGAGACAAGAAAGGCGAGGCTCACCAAGCCATTTATCTCTCTGCCCTTCAGTTAATCCCACTTGTGTTTATCGGCCAGGCTGGCACAACAAACTATCTCAGCTGTATAACATTAGGTAAATCTGTAGCACAAGACCTCTTTAGAGGATTGAAGACAAGGCTGTTACTTTGAGGACTACAGTGCACCTGACCCAAGCCATGGTATTCTCCATTGCATTATATGCATGTGAAAGTTGGACATTGAATAAGGAAGACCGTAGAAGAATTGATCGTCAGGAGAGACCAGTCCCTGGAGAAGGGCAGCATGTTTGGTAAAATGGGGCAGTGAAAAATGGAAGGCCTTTGACAAGATGGATTGACACAGTGGCTGCATCAATGGGCTCTGACTTAGGAACAATTGTGAGGATGGTCCAGGTCTGTGCAGTGTTTTGTTCCGTGTGCATAGGGTCGCTGTGGGGTGAAGCCAACTTGATGGCACCTAACAATAACAAAACTCTCTCCTGGAAATGGTCAACATATTTTGCAGGCGCCTTGATCTTTTACTTGAATCTCTGCAATAACCAGTTCTCCATAACACAGGAGTGTGTGCTATACTTTCTTGGGGTCATTTTGTGTGGAAGATACCGGCTCTCATACATAGGGTGGCTATGGGTTGGAACTGACTTGAAGGCAGTGGAACTTTATGATGTGTGAATTTTTTCATCACCTTCGCAGATCAAAATTATTTTTTATGAGTTTCAGAGCATCCTTTTCCTATATTATTTAATGTTTCCTGACTTATTATATTAATAATTAACTAAGTTATTAACAACTAGACTAGTAATTACTTATATATTAGATTGAAGTCTCTTCTTTGTAAGTCTCTTATGTAAACGTAGTGTTATAAGGACATATTCCTACTAGAGTAAGCACTCTTATGTGGTTTCTGACTGGCTGAATTATAGCATAAATCAATAATCATAATTTCAATGGTCATTTATCAGATCGCAGCAAGGTTGCTTTATGAAATCAAGACATAGGAAATGATTTCCAAGAACCTTCTTCTTAGAGGTTAACTTTGATTCCAATGGCTTGTTTGAATTCATGGCTTTGTGGCTCTAAGATGTCATAGAAAACTTGGCTTTTATCAAAGAGGTCTCTAACACAAAGCAAATCTTCAACAGCATAGTTATCCTCTTTTCCGGTCCAAATAGTCAGGCTGTACCTGCATTAAAATAAGGCAGAATTATAATGTTAAAAGTGAAAGACAGGAAATTGTGATGAGCAATTCCATGAATCCCAAAGATAGTTACTCTCCCTTGTCAAAGGCACATAGATGAAAAATGTGTAGTTGCTTGTCTCATTCTTTCATCAATCGTTTAGCACAAAAGGGGACTTGAGAGTAAAATGCACATCCTCATTATCTACATCAGGTAATTGCTAGTTCTGGATATTGTGTGCATTGTAGGAATGTTCGATGGTTTTAGAAACTCGGGACTGGAAGCACTGGACATGGGCTACATTTTAGAAGGAAACTATGGGGGACTGTTGTGGATCAACTAAGCTGGTCCCTACATCTACTACTCCAGGTCTGAGCTTCTCTTCGAAAAGCCCCAGCGGTGAAGTTGGTTAAATGTTGGGCCGCAAACAGCCAAGGGAGAAAGCGGAGGCATGAGGCTTTCAAATTCTGTGTAGATTTGCAACTTTGAAAACCCTAGGGAGTTCTATTCCACCCAACTAGGCTGCTAAGATTCAGAATGGATTTGATGGCAGTGTATTTAGTTTTTTAACCAGGTCTCTTAAAGGGACTGCTAGAACTGTGGAGTGACCCAAATATTGCCAGTATCCTAAACATTCTCTTTAAGTAATCTTATTATCCCTTTGGGAAGTTTTGCCAGAGATATAAGAATGCCAAAAGCTGTCAGTAAGGATGCCACATAAAAGAAATTTAAATCAATTTTTGAAATGTTGAAAACAATGATAATATATGCATATTTATTATGGATGCAAGAATATGCTCAGAATTTTAATGTTATTCAAATTGTATATTTTTCACTTCTTCCAGTGAAGCTCCTCTTATTCCATGAGATAAGGAAATGCAAATGTGTTCAGTCTTTTCATATTTACTTTTCCACACACTTCTTGGAAACCAGGGGAAAATCTCAGAACAGTTATTATTAAACTAACGAGAAGAAGTACTGCCTAACCCAGGTACCTGCTCTTGTTATTTATATACGTTCCTGTTCCTCAGGATGGCACCACCATTGGGAAATACAACAGAGGGCAGTAGGAGAACCAGTCAAGAATGATTGCTACAAAATCATAGAAACCTTGATTAAACAAAAATAACAAAATGTGAAGCTCCTGACAAATTTCTCTGCTAGGTCTGTACACTTCTGATGTTGCTATTTCCATCTCGCTAACCCTTCCTTGTCTTTCAGCAGTGCATGGTACTTTCAATATTCTTCAGCAGAACCACAATTCAAATACATCGATTCTTCTTTAATCTTCAAATTTCAGTGCCAGTGAAGAATATTGAAATCACCATGGACTGCTGAAAAGACAAAAAAAAGTCATCTGGAAGAAGTATATCCACTGTGCTCCTTAGAAGCAAGGCTGGCAAGACTCTGTCTTACACACTTTGGACAGACCAGTCCCTGGAGAAGAACATCATGTTTGGTGAAGTTGAGGGGCAGCCACAAAGAGGAATGCCCTCAACACGATGGATTGACACCGGGGTTGTTAACAATGGGCTCAAGCATAGGAACAATTATGCGCACTGGGCAGTATTTCATTCTGTTGTGCAGAGGGTCGCTATGGGTCGGAACCAGCTAGATGGACTGTAACAATGATATCAACCCTTCCTTGCAGAATGTTTGGTTTATCCCACATCAAACCTGCAATATTTTTATTGCACCCGAGGGATCCCTTGTGTTCTTTTTCAGTGTTCCTTGAGTTTGGGGAGTCTAAACATAAAAGACCAGGGCTGCTGGGTGAATGGGGTAAGATTTCTTAACAAAATTTCTCCCAGGACAGCTCTGGCTAGCCCTGAAGAAGGAACAGGTGCACTGTCACAGTAGAAGACAAGTCCTCAGCACAACTTTCCTGGGCTTTTGCGCCTCAATGAAGTTTTCGATTTGCTTCTGCATGAATGGGCCTCCATGATCACCAAGTGCCCTCTGAGAAAATCTATCAAGATGATCCCTTTGAAATTAAAAAATACAAACAAAACAGCTGTCATACACATCTGAGCTGAGCCTTGGATGGCAGGGTCCAGCAGAATCCCCTTGGAAGCCACTGTTTTGATTGGACCTCTCCCTTTTTGAAGGCATCCTAACAAGACCCAGACCAGTGTGCTACAGAGAAAAGTTGTCTGCAGTCATCTACTGATCGCAGAGACATGTTTAAACATGTTTTGTCTGTAATAAACCCATGCATGCAGGGAAACCTAGCAGCAATACATTTGGAGCTGTCCTTGTATTTTGGATTTTGCCCCATAGCATAGTTATATGACAGCCAAAAAGAAAATCTGTAATCTCAACTGAGAATGCAGAAATGGAACAAGGGAAATTAAGTGTAAGACCTTTGTTTTTGCTAAAATGGCATCTTTATTCTTTTACCTGTGGCCCCTAGTGACAAACCTTATAAAAAGGAAGAGATATGAGCGTCCCAATGAAAAGACAATCTTCCCGGTGGTATTCTTCTTTTAGTACTCCCTCTATTGGACTTAAACAAGTGGGAAAAATAAAATGACCCAAGTTTATCTTAAATTGTATTTATGCAAATAAATTCTCAGGTTTAAGTCTTTTTCAAAATTATGTAATTGCATACATAAAAGGTATCTAAAACAAAAATGTACATTTTAACAAAGTATTATGAAGTGAACCGCAATGTAACTAACACTCAAATCAAGCAATAGAAGATCACTGGAGCTCAGAAAGCACCTGCGTGCTATTTCCCGACTACAAACTTTCTTTTGTCTTGTGTTGTTGTTGTGTAAGGTTCTGATCCACAGTGACCCTACGCACAAGAGAACAGAACACTGTCCAGTCCTGCGCCGTACTCACCATTGTTCCTCCACCTGAGCCCACTGTTGCAGCCACTGGGTCAACCCATGTCATTGAGGGCCTTCTTCTCGTTCACTGCCCCTCCGCTTTACTGAGCACGATGCTCTTCCCCAGGGGCTGGTCTCTCCTGACAACATGCCCAAAGTCTGCCACAGTCTCACTACCCTTGCCTCTAAAGAGCACCCTGCACATACTTCTTCCAAGACCCTTTGGCAGTCCCCCGTACTAAGTCCTGTAGTTCACCATTATCCTGACTTTCTGATAGGCACCTTCATGCATTTCTTTACAGTTTTACCACCTATGAGGGGCCTTCAACATGTTCATGGAAAACATCCATTTTCTTTTTATTCCGTTTTTTCCACTAACTTTTTAAAGCCCCTGGTATGTATGCATTCTAAACAATAGCTTACTTTTTGTTTGTTTTTAATTTCATACAAATGGAATCATATGGTATGCAACTTTTTAATCTTCTTTTTCTTCTCAATATTATGTTTGTGAGATGTATCTAAGTTGTATAGCTCTGTACTTTACATGAGCAGATATAAACATCTGTGCAAATCTGTTGAGTTTTTAGAGTGTGTATCTTACAGCACTTAATGTTATCATAATTAATACAGAAATGTGTACCATAAATGAGGCTATGTTTTAATAAAACGATTAAAGAATGTGTAGCCCTATAACATTGTGGTTATACATTGGGCTGCTAACCTCAAGGTCAGCAGTTCAAAAGGGTGAAAGACACAGCTTTCTACTTCTGTAAAGAGTTACAGTAAAAAACAAAAACAAAAAAAACCCAGTTACAGTCTTGGAAGCCCAAAGGGGAAGTTCAACCCTGTCCTGTTGGGTAGCTATGAGATTGGAATTGACTGCATCGCAGTGAATTTGAGTAAGTACAAAGAATGTGGCTTTGGCTTTGCTAGTCAGTGACATGGAAACTGATATCAAAAACTAAAAGTAGTTGGCCTATGTTATGGCAGAATAAATCATTA